AAGTATTTTTCCAGTTGCTCCACATCTGCTTTCATTGCCTCTTGAAAGTGCTCTACCCAATTATTTTGCTGTTCTTCAGTGTTGCTGATTACTTTGCCTTCCTTGCTTTTCACTGGTCGTTCTGGTTTACGATAGTTTCCGGCGAGCGTCTTTGTTGTTTCGTACAACTGTCTCAAGTTTCCGTCTCTTGCACCCTTTTCCGCCGTCATTGCTAGATCTTCCACATATTTTCGTTTGTCAGCTCTGATGCTCTTCTTCACTTCCCTGTTTGCTTCTGTGTGTGCGGCCTGTGCCTTAACTTTATCTGCTCTTGTTTGGCTGAATTCACTGCTGCCTTCTTGTTCCTCTTTTCTTCAATTTTTGCAAGAGTACCAACAGAGATCCATTCCTTGTGATGGTGCTTCTTGCGACCAAGGACCTCCTGACATGTTGAAGTGATCGCATCCTTAATCCCTTTCCAATTGTTCTTCGATGTTGCGTCCTCTCCATTGAGTAGATCCTGAAAGGCCTGGAGCCTATTTGTGGGGGCTATCTTGAATTCATTGAGTTTTACGGTATCCCGAAGAAAGGCTGTATCAAACTTGTGTGACGTTGTCTGCTCCGTTATCCAGTGCTTCTTTAGTTTCAGTTTCATTTTTTCGATCAGCAAATGGTGATCTGAGGCTATATCAGTTCCTATCTTGGTTCTCACATCCTCCATGGTCCCTCTGAACATTGTATTGATAAGGATATGGTCCATTTGTTTCTAAGTAGTGTGATTGGTTGAAATCCATGTGGCTTTGTGTATGCATTTGTGTGGGAATATTGTGCCAGCGAGGATCAGTTTGTTGAAGGCACATAGGTTTGCAAATCTCTCACCATTTTCGTTTCTTTCTCCCAGTCCATGTCGTCCCATGATGTCTTCATATCCAGTGTTGTCCATTCCAACCTTGGCATTCAGGTCTCCCATAAGAATCATCAAATCCTTTGGTGAACATTTCTCGACGATTGACTTCAGCCTTTCGTAGAATTGATCTTTAACGTCGTCATTGTAGTCATTGGTAGGTGCATAACATTGGATGACGTTCATTGTAATGTCCGCTTTCTTTCTTTTGAAGGATGCTTTGATGATCTTCGGTTCATGAGATTCCCATCCTATCAGTGCCTTTTGTGCATGTTTGGACAGCATCAGTGCAACTCCTTGTGTATGTGAAGCGTTTTCCTCTTCATGACCAGAGTATAACAGCAGTTCCCCTTAAGCAATTCTCACTTGTCCTACCTATGTCCAATGTGTTTCACTGATGCCGAGCACCTCAAGGTTGTATCTTTTCATTTCTGCCGCAACTTGAAATAGTCTTCTAGTCTCCCACAATGTACGAACGTTCCATGTACCCAAAAGAATGGTTGCTCTGGTTGTCAGAAGAGGCATCGGCACCGTGACTTCCGAGGGAACTCGGCAGAGTTAAAATGGTTTGAATTATTTTTTCTGGTTAGCGTTTTATTGGCAAGTTAGATTTCGACGGAATGGGGTCGCCAACCCCATGTCCAACCCTCCCCCTTTATCCGGGCTTGGGACCGGCAGTAGCCTCGAAGGTTCTACTGGCTGAGTTGAATATTATTGGTAGATCACTTCAAATGATATTACGGAGTTAGTTTCTAAAAGAGCTTTCTTTTGACGAACGACTGCTCGTTTTTGTTTGCTGAAACAACCCGTTTCACCTCATTTATATGGATGAAAAATTGTACGACTTGAAAGAACATATCACTTGCTACAATTTACCGAAAATATCTGTTGGAAAATTACTAACAGTTTAAATGACCAACCTAATATAATTAAACCACCAGTGAGGACCTGTAAAGGTCATTTCTCCTCATAACGGGACTCCTTAATATCAGGCAACTGTAACTTCATGTCCGGGACTTGCGCATGAACTCTCATCCCTTAGGCTTCCAAGCTAGTGTCTAAAGGATGTTAATGTCTAACTTTAAGTGGTTCACGCTATTAATTGAATCTCATTTCCAATGGCGGTCAAACCAAAATCAATTCGACGCTTAAACTAGGTAGGCTCAATGATCGCCACAAAAACTGTATACTTAGGAAATTACTATTAACTATTTAAAAGGCTAATATGAAAAGATTGGTTAAATTCGAACTAAAATGAATGAGATAATATTAGGAGAAATGTATAAAATCATCAATATATGTAGGCTGTGAATCCTTGAAGTGTTTATTTTGATGAAAACGTTCAGCAGCTTTTAGGCTATGTATGTAGTTTCGCATATGTGACTGATTAAATCTATTCTTATCCAAATTCTGCTGTAATATGCATGATATTCATGGAAAACTAACTACTAAATCTCATAGCTTATCTGGCATTTCCTAAATTCTTGTTATACGTCATTTTTTATCACGTATATTAACCTAAATGTGACGAAGCACAATTTTTATGTCCCACTAGGTAAATAAGATAACGGAAAATATTTTTTAATAAATTTTTGGAAACCGATTAAGTATACTTGAACATTTACTATGAAACAGTAAGATTGCATGAAAGAATATACAAGAATATTAAGTGAAAGAATTCATTTTATTCACTTTTTATTGAACTTACTATTGACAGGTTAAATTAGCTGACGAAGATTGTAACTTAGTGGTTGATGAATATCGTGAACAGATTGGGACTTGAATATCTGATAACTGATTCTCTGTGATATTATAACTGATCACTGCTTAGATGATTTTTTTCCTCTAACCGATATTAATCTGCTATGAAAATCAACCTAAAGTTTAAAACATTAATTTCCAGTATAATCTTTCTCCGTTGTACATTATATTGGTTAGAGATATGAAACTATATGTAGAGTATTCATTTATTAACGATTTTGTAAATAAAACGTAAGTCAATGAAGATATTTGTTATGGAAATATAAAACTGTATACTTTGTGAGTTCTGCTTGTCAAGCAGAACACCGCTCAGAAGTGTCAATTTATTAGATGAACAAGCTGCATTGTTCACATTTATAGTAGGTTTTATGTAAGCTGGAACCAATTGTGACTTAAAATCTGCTGTTCTGATAATTTCTGATTTTTAAGTTAGATTTTTTTATTATGTATGTTATATCAACAGTGATTTATTATATAACGTTATAAACAGTGATGCGGACTGTATAGTAAACCCATTGTGATGATCTCATTGGTTTAAATACAGAGTTTCCTTCGAGGATAGTAAGTACCATTGAAATAATAAAGAGTAATTTATATAAACAGCGATACAAGTGTTTAGAAATGATTTTATAGTTTTTGAAAATCGACAGACATGGTATAAAATGATTAATGTGCATTGTTAATCTTTTTGTTCTAGTTGTTACATACTTCAAGTTTCATTTCTTGCGATTGTTTACATTTAGAATTAGTGTAATCACCAGAAAACTAAATTGGTTTACATATCTGTGCAATGAATGCTTCAACTTTGTGTAAGATGTACTTTATCGAAAATGTGATTTACTTAAGTTATAATTTCACATGCATTCTTTTGCATTAAGCACTGCACGACAAGTGTGATATTTTAATTGAACAGATATTTTACTTTTATTTCCTGGTTTCAGTGATTCAGTCAAATTATGAAGGCATTCCAAAAATGTTGATTTGGGATTTAATACATCTTTTGTTCTGAATAACCACATAAGGAGAAATTCATCAAAATAATTAGATAACAATCAGGGTTTTTAATTAATTTTATTCAACTAAGCATCATGATTTAGGGAACACTGTTTGCATACAGGTTAACAGTGATGGTATAGCAAAATGATATTTAATAAATCAACGTAAGGAATCAATGAGATGAAATCACATGATCATTATCCTAGTTAAAAAATTTTCTTATTTTTACTGTATTAACGAAATTCAATTTGTGAAATTCGATAAGTGTAGTTGCATATCCTACTTAAGGCAGATGATTATCATCTATCTGAGCTAAAAACTTTTCCCCACTATCTCAATATCTTAGTTTATTTATCTTTTAATAGGATTCGTCTGATTATCTTTATTGCATCTTTTGAATTACATTACAAATATACCCGTAATTTTTTCAGGATATTGATTTGATCATAGTAGTTATAAATGAAATCTCTATTTCTACTTAAACTTCTGTCATATTTTGGACGTTTAGTAGTGTGTTTCACCCTTCGATTAAATCTAAAAGCCTGAGTTCTTTGATACCTAATTATTTTAATCAGACAGCAAGTAGTATACAGATCAATGATAAAATTTCATGGAATTTTTATATTTCTTCAAGCTACCTGTTATACAATTCATTATCATAGCTTTTTTCCACTAGATAATTATGTTGAAGACGGGTGGACAACGCCTCATTGGTTGGTTGGTTGGTTAAGCGGTTAATCGTCTGAAGTGGTAAATCATACTCGAATGATCACTTCGCACTTTATTCCAAAGGTTTTGAAGATCATTTTAAATGAAGTGAGTGAATAGTAATCTATTGATCGTCAACTCGTTCAAATATTGACCAGTTTTCATTGTAAAAGTTTCCAGATTTGTTCTTAGTATTATATTCTTTAGTTGCAACATGCAATTTTATTGCTCTAATGTTTATTGTGATTACTGTTCAAAACCATCAGCTTACTGCAATAACATTCAGTTATAAAGACCGAAAATTCATATGCAAAATTATTCATTGTGAAATGCTGTGTACGTCAAATTCACAGTATGACATACGTACTTTCTTTAAAAGTGTCTGACAAGTTGTCTTTTAAAATATACTTGAACTGATTCTTTTCAAAATTTCTTGAAAAAAATATTTATTGTTCATATACTAGGTAAACTTACTGAATACTATTATCTACAGTACAGTAATAAACATGGTTGTTTATCATTTTTATTATACGATACGTTGTACAGATTTAGTCAGACAAAGAAAACTGAAGTTGAACCTACTTTTTGTTTTACATCAGTTGCTACAATGTACAGATGTATAGCTGTTTTAAAAAAACAAACAATTTATAACTGGTATGTTATATTCCATTGTATATGATATAGAAATAGTATTATTAATAAAATATGAGTTGTTCTAGTATTGGAATTATGAATTGTTTTTTTTATACATTGGCAAATCAACGTCATTAGTTATTATTTGAGTACTGAAATATTTTAAATGTTGTTGATAAAGTTGAGTTTAAACTCTCAGATATTGTATTGCTGTATTATTATCACTGTACATTTTATTTTGCGAATTATTTCCATATAAATCCATTTAGAAAGTAAAATTTTTTTGCAATGGTGAAGACGTGGATTCCATGGAATATTTGTTATCTGTGTAAGTTATTGAACCATTAGTAAGTGACATTGTAGACTGATAATTCACTGATTTTAGAACATCTGTTGGTTCTTCAGTATATTGCGACACAACAGTATCTCTAGTACTATTTAGCCTTGTACGACACCAATTTGAATGTGTTTTGCATAGCGTACACAGAATATCAACAAATGCTTTACGAATATCCCGTAAAGAATATGCATAAATAAAAGGGTTAACTCCGGAATTCAAATAGCCAAGCCATGTGACAAGTGGAAATATTATATTCTCTTGGGGTTTCAAAACTGATGGATAAATAGCTTTTATGGTGTTATAAACAAAAAATGGTAGCCAGCATAAAACAAACACACCCATTACTATCCCAAGAGTTTTAGCTGCTTTTCGTTCTTTGGTAAATCGTTGTACTCGTTTTTTGATTTCAGTCAGGTAGCTTCTTGATGATAGTAAACTTTCTTCTGTCTTCTGTGTCCCAGTTGTTACTGTCAAAATATCATTCTTTTGTGTTAGTGAAGTATTCCTATTGATTCGATTGAATATAGTTTTGTAACAACCTGAGAATAATGTACAATGAGTGTTTTCTTCATCAGTTGGTTCAATTTTGTTAGATTGATTAAATTTTACACGTTTTTTGCTTTTTTCGTTTTCATTATTACTACACTCTAATATTTCTTGATTATTTTCATTATCATTTTCTGTAGGCAAAGGTATAGGTGACTGATTATTGAGGATTTCATGCGAAGATTCATACGACACTTTGGTAGAATTATTAGAACTGTGTGGTAGTATACCTTGACGTAAGACTGACGGAAGTGTTTTACTTATACCGCCTCTGTGCACTCTTAATATCATTATTTCACCACCTAATGATTTTCTATAAATCAATCTTTTACCGGTGTTCAGTGTTTTAATGAGACCATTTGCTTTCTGATATATTTTCCAATAAACAAAAATCATAACTATCAAGGGTATGTGAAATGAAATGCAAGAAGAGATGAATAAATAAACTCTGTCAGAAGAAAATAAGCACTCCGCGTCTGGTACACTATGTATATCAGAAACATTATATATACTACCTGAATGTCGCCACCAGGCAATGGCTGGAAAGGAAATTAGTATTGAGCATATCCAAGTAAGCATAATCATAAGAATACATCGTGAGTGTGTTACACGTAAAGGATAATTAAATGGATCTGAAATAGCAATGTAACGCTCTACTGAAATTGCACATAAATTTAAAATTGAAGCTGTTGAACTAAGAACATCAAACGCATGCCACAGATCACACCAATTCTGACCAAATGGCCATAACACATACTGATCCTGTTGATTTTTAGGAAGACGATCTTTATGAATAGATCTTAATACATCAACTACAGCGAATGGCATTACAATTGTTCCCAAAAGTAGGTCTGCTGCTGCTAAAGATGCTATAAAACAATTTGTTACATTTCTTCGTAATTTATGTTTTGTACAGATTGCAAAAAGAACAAGTAAATTCCCACCAACAGTGATGAATATAATTATAATAGATCCCAGTAATGTTATAGTTTCCACTATTGCACTACTATTAGAATATAATTGTTCACTTATATTATTTTTACTGTTATTATACGATATATCCACATTTAGATAGTTCTCAGCGTTCATTTCCCGTAAAAACAAAATGTAACTTATTTGATCATGCTTTCAACGTTAGCAAATAAATGAATACATTTACTTGATTAAATACTATAGTTTTTTTTAATTTATATGTCTTATATAATCAACTGTTCAGCTTCCAATTGTATAATCTCTCTTAATTCTTTACCCAATCAAATTCAGCTAACGTAGCCAATCAAATTACTCACTTCTAAACCAAAAGTTATCATCAACAAAGAAGCTTTAGAAGCAGTGATTCTTACACATTTGAGATAAAATAATTATGTGCTTAGGGTATGTGTTAAACAGCTGGACTAAAAGATGTATTAATTGTAATCAAAGCTATCAATGGATCCAGGTTACGAATCACATTGTTCCTCCCAGAAGTTTTTAGACTTATCATATGAAATATCCACATTTACTGATGATCTGTTTATGCCATAATTGGTCTTATATACTTACATGTTACAGATTTTTTGAAATACATCTGTGTAAAATGAAAAGATTTTCTTCGATTTCGAAATAAGGGTCAGGTTTCAATAATGGGATTTACTAAGTCAAATTATTCAAACAATCTATAGCTTGTTCGGGTGCACATTTCATACTATACTAAAGGTCTGGTGTCACGGAAGTTTTTAAAAATACATTGATTGATCACTAACTATTAATCAATAATAAATTGTATATTAGTGCGGACTGAATTTCATCAATGGCGCCACTATTTGTTTATTAGTCAGCCTAACTTGAAGTTACACTACACTATGGTTATTTATTGACACCGAGTGCAAGGTTTTGAGCCTAAATTCTGTGCTAGTTAGTAGAATTTAGTTTAATGTAGCTGAAATTTGGAATAAATTGATATTTTCCATAGAATCAAAAATTTTGTTGCTCAGTGTTTCTTTGAACGCCACTATAATTAAATTATTTTGGACTTGGTTAGTCTTCAATAAAACTAAAGTATTTGAGCCAGTAGATCACTGATTAAAATTGATTCTCCTATAGTTTTATCAGAAATGTTATTCCAAATCTATTGACCATGCCGAATGATGAAATAAATGTTAAATATTGGAATTTACTATCTAGTAAAAAGAGCTTACAACCGACGAATTAGTAGATAGGTTGTGATTAGAAATATTTTGCTGATCTATCTGCAATACAATCTCATAAATTTAGATGGGAATTGTGGTATTACTGCTATTACTTCAAGTATTGTTAAAATTGTAGATTTGTCATACTTCTTTGAGAATTATTGAGTTACACGATCTGTAATAATTTTGGAAACATGTGACTGTTTCAACCAACATTACTCATAAATGAACCCTTTCTAAGGATTTCTTATTTCAAAATTAATAAAGACAATATTATAGATAGTTTTACATATTTTCTTTAGTTTATAACGCCTCATGTTATCTGGTTGTTTCAACTTATATTCAGTCATGTCCGTTAGAGTATTTAGTCATCTGTTTTCCTTGAAGAGATTAAAAGGAATATTTTTTTCCGATAACATAAGAACACTCTGTTGTTGTCGTAGGATTGCTAGAGGTGACAAAAATGTGTAGAGTACCACGGAGTGATTGCTAGTTAAATTTTCAGTGTATTGTATATTTTTCTGAAACAGTTTCCTTCACATCCTGGAATAAATATGATAGATTTTCAACAGCAACAGTTATCAATATATGTTAGTGTAAGTTTCTGTGAAACAGCTGAATTTATTTAATGATAAATTAATTCTATATTTTTCACAAATGGTAATATCATACCTACACTGCAGGTCACAATTCACCAAAAAAATCTTTGTTCCCGAAATTATCGGATATTATAAAACTAATTCTTATAGTTTGTTTTTATTTAACTGGCTATCAAACAGATTCTATATTTACAACATTGTTCCGTTAATCACATGTTACTACTAAAGGTTAACATGTGAAATAAACTGAATTTATCAAGATAAAACCTTTCGTTTAGCATTTGTAGATTCGAGAATGCGACTAACATAAAAAGAATTTATCAAAACAGATTTCTCTTTTCAACCTATGTACTTTCTACTTGGTGTAGATTATTATGAATATATAATATTCATGTAGTTGTAAAATTTGGTGGTTTTATTTCTTTTTGTGTTTATTTATCAATTATGTACTGAATAAATGTCAAATATTTAGTGGATGTTGTTAAGGTTGTAAAATGAAATCAGTTAAAAGAAAGCAACTAAATGTAACAGTAGAAAATCGAAACTTCTTACATACAATAGGTCGAAGGGACAATTCTTATTTCTTGTAGAATATACCATTCAATCCATAGATTTATACATACGACAAAATTCTTATAGTGAAAAGATGGTATACATCATTCTTAGCAAGTGTGAATTTATTATCGCAAGCGAATGAAAATGTTAGTAGATCATTGGGTGTTATCTGAATTTTCATCTTATCAACGACTAATCCACAGAACTTCACTGTACTAGATATAAGATGACTTTTCATCTTCTGAGCTTACAAACAATATAATCATTGACTTTGTTTCAATATACATCATAACATAATAGAGGTACTACAATATTTATGTTTGTTGAAAGCAAATAACTAGACGATCATTATCTGGTTTCTGGAAAACAGATTATTTTCAAAATCAGACAGATTAGCGAAAAAAATTATGACGCTATGTGACGTCGAGTATGGAGAAAACTTTCATCTGTTGAGCGCAACAAAAGTTAACCTTTCAGCAAGATTCCATATCCACAGTTCGTAATATTTAGAAATACTTGAGTCATCAAGGTGAATCAGTTTGTCTACTGCAGTCATGAACACTTTTGTTGCGGTAACAGGATAATAACCAATTAGGTGTCATAATTGTACAGATACATCTATCTATCTCCGTAATCTTCAGATTTCCATAGTTTCAAAGTCTAATTTCTAATCAGGTTATGTATATATAACAACGTTCACTAGTTAACATTTAATGACTGTTGGTTTCAATTCAACTAATTGATTCAGTGCTTGTTTTATAAGTTCGTAAATCCCGATCGTTTGATATTCAGTTATTTCCTTAGATGCGTATCATTTAAGAGAAAAAAAAGGCGAAAGCTAGTAAAAAAGGGATAATTTATTTATGGGACACTTTAATATGCAAGATATGATAAGAAGATACAAATGAATAAGTTTTAACTTTGATGCTTGTAGCTGATGGTCAAATAATGTTGTTTTCTCCCTGTGGATTTTAAACAGAAAAGTATGACATCAAAAAAATTCATAGATATGTGACTTTAAAAGCTTACTTGTAAGTTTATTACCTTATTGCCGTCTTGTTTAATATTACCATTTGGATAAGAGGTAAATAGGCCATTTTCAAAATTAATTTCCAATAACATAAACATTCAACGAATGTTTTATTTTATAAACTGTCTATTACTTCTTTCATTAAATGTATTACATCAGTGAAGTTCAGTGTAAAAAGCGTGATAGACGTGTGAATAGTAACTAACTTTATTATGTTTAGATTTCAAAATACATTGCTTAAGTATTATGAAGTTGAATGATTCGATAATGTATTTTATATTTTTTTTAATGATAATAGACAATTACTGTTTTCAGGTGTTCACTAGGCAATTCTTACAATAATAAAATTTATGACTTTTCATAAGGGATTGAGAATAAACAGATGCATATTTTAACTTGTTTTATGTAGAAAAAAACGTAGCGTGATTCACAAAAGTCGTAAGTTTGCATCAATAGATTAATTTTATCTCGCATTTTTGGGTTACAGTACAAAAATAAAAATGTATTAACATATTGTCAGGTAAACTGAATTAATTGCTTGACGATTTATTTTATTTGTTCATGGATTGAAATGTAAAACAAACATATACAGGTGAGCATATATGTGCACCATATGACAGGCAGTTATATTCGTATACATTCAAACTGTTCTCGATTATTTCAACTTCAAATAACGTTCTTTCAACTGTTTGTTACCATTTAAATAAAAATGTCATAAACTCATGTTTTCAGAATTTTTGTAGTTAAAATTATTCCTTTTAGTCATATGTATGAGTAAGGCCGTTATCAAAGTTATTAAATATGGCTTGGAAGTTGACCAAATCTACTTCTCAGTGTATTTTGAGTTAGATCAATACCATAATATTTAACAATGAATGTACGAAACTGAAACTGAACAGGTTTTCTACATGGATGAGCCTTCAAAGTGATACTATGTACTTGATATTATTGATTCTGGTTAGCTGCATCCGGATTCATAAGTATTCAGTCGTTTTAAAGTAATTTGAAGTAATGTTTTTACTTTGGCCTCATCATAGCTGGCGAAAATCACATAAGCCATCCGTAGTCTTACTGAGATAAATCTTTCCTAAGATCTCTAGGCTTTAAGTTTGAACAGTCAGAAGTATTACAGTTAGGTTTATTGTTTATAATAAACTTCCTTGTGAGTCTTTTAAAGACTTCTGTAGAGCGTAAGCTTGGAGATCTATTACTTATTCTGTGAAATATCTTTTTCACCAGAGGTTAAAAAAACAAAACCTATTAAACATCGATACAACTTTCACTTAGAAAACGTTTGTCATATACAGCTCTATAAAGGAATCAAGTAAAAAGATGAGACAGTATAAAGTTTCTCAAAGGATTAGAAGCCGAAAGTAAATTTTAGTTATAGATGTAAGCAGTGGTTAACAGTGGAATTCAAGACCAATATTTCATTCTTCTTGCGTACTACTCACCTAGGTTTACTTGATTTATATTTTTGATGCTGATATTAGGACCTGATCCTAATACCTCTGTCTTCAAACTCCAAACACCTGACTTACTGAGTTAATGAGTTCAGATAACCACTGTTCCTTTGTAAGTAGCTTTATAACTTTAATTAAAACTTGTGACGAAATAGTACTTTCACGGTGAACCCGTCAGAATGGACATATATCAATAAAAAATAATCTTTTGCAATACTTATCACCAACAACAGGAAAATTCATTCTTACAAATAAAATAAAATTTTAGTTATTT